AACTACCTAAGTCTGAACCGGGAGAATACAGAATGTCAGACATGATTTGGGCCTATGGAAGTCGGACGTTCAGGATCAAGATATGCCGAACTGTCCTATTTGTGTACTGCTCCAACCTAACACCGTCACTGAACAAAGTATTCGTTGACTATAATGTTGCCCATCAGAGGTATGAATAAGGGTGCGGATTACCCGAACAGAGCTATTCTACTGTCGAAACCTATACCGCAGCCTGGTTGAACCAGCCCCATTTCTTCCATGCTGTCCCTTCTCAAACTGCCTGATTTCATCCACCATCATAACCTACATGTTTGTTGGAAAACAAAAGTAAACATTATAAAGTGAACAGAAGAAATGCTTCACTCACCCTTCCCCATTCACCTAACGGACATGGATCACGAGGAGCAAAATCCAGATCAATTGCTGCTTGCTTGAATTTGCACTCAGTAAGAGGACCCAATGATTCACATTTGGGAATGAACTCAACTCTCATCCATCTGAAAGTAATTACTATGAATTCAATGAACTAATCGTAATTTCTGATCAAACATAAAAGCTTTCAGAAGAGCCGTACGAATACAGCCGCTTTCAAGGAACTATAGCATAAGGTTTGAAATCAGGGATAACAGTGATGAGATTGAAGCAATTCAACTTTGACATCATAAATGAAAGAAAAAGAAATGTAGGATGTGGGACGTAAACTACAGAAAAAAGAATTGTATGACAATACTATTTGGTAACTACAAGGTCTTTCTTCTTGAAAAGTTTCGTTAATAATAAGGTGGTAACAATCCATTGAACTGTCCCAAAAATGTTCCCCAGTGTGGCCGAGTGCCGAAAAATTCTAACCATATCTTCAATAAACGCACCGACTATAGGGCGGGTGGTCACGTTCATTATCGACAAAAGCGCACAACTGGAAACCGTAACGGAAAAGTCGTGCCTCAGATTCCGATGAAATGCACGACTCCAATTCATCATATTCGACATCAGCTGCAAAATGCGATTACAGGCAGAACAAAACGAAGGACGCCCAAAAAAATCAAAATGGAAAGCTACGATTGACAATGTGGGTAACCAGTACTTACTTGCACGGACAATTTGTATCGCTTCCATTTCTACCAACTCATTGGCAAATTTAATTGCACTTTCACGCGTCGCCAACTCTTTCACGTTACCAGCTAGAAAAATCAATTTGAAGTAGTTGCCTTCCAGAAATAAAATCGGCACTATGTAAACTTGCTCCATTCCCAGCATGATCTAGCTCACTAACTCATGCACTTATGGAGGTCTGGATGATGAAATTAATTGGAAGGACTACTTTTCAACGGCCACAGAGGTTGAGCGGATCAAGGTTGAGAGAACAAATTGTACATTGAAGTTTAGTTCATTCGGCGATGCGATAATCTACTAAAAAGACTAATTTTACACAATGATGAAGGAGGAGCGGATTCGCCTACGAGGATGAAACACTGAAATAAACCGAATATTATACATTGTGGCCCGACTGTGCCTATACACAGCACTGCGATTCTGAATGAAATATGAACTCTGGGTAAAAAGGAAGAAAGGGGGTAACACCCAACTACTTTCATTATGAGATCTCTAAAACCTTTCCAGCAACACCTAATCCTAACTGCAAATTCTTCATTTATCAGACTAATTTTCAAGAAAAAAAAACTCACCGGTGAGCCAGTTCACAAAAGTGTACGACATAAATACATGTTTAGGGCGGATCGACAGGCAGCGGGAATTTTGACTGGTCATGCCCAACAACGCCACTTCTGTTTTGAATGCGCACCCGGACTGAAACTAGGCAACCATAACATTCTGAAAAATGGACCACCCTGATTACTCTGAGTAGTGAATTATGGGGAACGGTCAACAGAATCGATGGCTCGTCGCGCCACCGCGTGCGGCCAATCGTGCGGCGAGGGGGCGGGCTTCAGGACGAGTGTTGTCTGTATCGACTTCTGAGTAGGATGGCGATCTTCATACTCTCTCTTTGTGACTAGTAGGAGTTCTACAGCGTGAAACTTAAAGTGGGTAAGACTTACTCCTCCAAACTATGATGACCGTGCCTTTCTAAAATACACTGTTCATCATTTTAACCACCTGTGATTCAATACTATTTGTTCTTTGGTAATTGCAGAGCTTAAGAACTGGAAATTCTTCTTTGACACGGTTTCCCTAACTTATATCTTGAATTATTCATATCAAATCTTACTAACAGATGTAAGTGGTTGTTAATAAACGAAAGAACTTCTTTTCAGTTACCAAGACTTATGCTCTTCCCAACCACTCCTTGAAAATGGAGTAGCGAGTACTACCCACGTGCTTACGAGGCAACAGAGCTGACGCTCGCTACTAGTTTCCAGTAAGAGTTATGTGGATGCTATGAACAAAAACTGTTGCATCGAGTCATCATATATACCGCGGCTTATCGCAACCTTTCTGGGAATCTAAACAACAAATTCAAACGAAATCTTAATTGGATTCTCCTCACTGGACATTTCTGTTGTTTGTCCGAGCAATGAAGATCTTGTGCGACCTAGTCCTAAAGACAAGAGCCTGAGGCGAAGCCGCCAGCACCATACGTGTAATTGGTTATATCTGGGGAAAACAATGGTTACAGAACCTGTCCCAAGGTACTTTGCCGTGATGACTGCAACACTATGTTGACTCGAAACAATTCTTTTAATAGTCAACTATTATATATTCGCAGGAATAAGACCTAAAAATAGCTATTGCTTGCTATCATATTGTTGACTACAACATTATCTAAAACATCCTTTTTGTTTGAACGAAAGCAGAGTGAACGATTCATCCCGAACATCTTTTTTATGACCACATTCAAAAATTCAGCGTGTTGAGAGCATGTAAGAGCTGAATCACGATTGCGCATCGAAGCAAATACCTCAATAGTTTGGCTTACAGCAAAAGGAAGAAGTCGAAACTTTGACTCTCAATTCTTTTAGACATCAGAATAATTCAAGTTATTTGTCCAGGAAACACACCTAATCAGAGCAAAGATAGGATCACCTTACTGGTCGTCGTAGTTCTTTATTTTGTTCGCTACCACACGGTTCTCATAGAGAAAATGTGTTTTGTAAAATAATGGCGCTGTTTAGAGACACTGTGAGTGAAACTTGGTAGTAGTGTAGACAAATTATATTCATGTTTTGATCACAAAGCCCAAAAAGCTACATGCTTATTATAGATTCAGATAAGGAACAACTACAATATTAAGATAGCTAATGAAAGTGACTGTATCCTTGCTCCGAAGTAGAACACGTAGGGTTCAACAATTAGAAATTCCGCTGAACAGTCATTCACAATCACAGTCATCGGAATGCTCAGAAAGTCCCACGCCATTAGTACATCCGATATCTGGCAATGGACACGCCCACCCGCCGCGCCGTCGTGGCCACGCCTACTGGCGCGGCGATCCCATCGATTCTGTTGACACGGAGCCATGTCTTTCATTTAGGAAGCCTAAGCATGACTGCTCGACAAGGGGCAGGTGATAGTCGGACGACTGAATCTTCAACAAAAAGGAGCTGATTTAGTGCACCACAACTTTAAAAATTCCACACTTCTGTTCGAATACGATTCCAACAGTTGACGCTAACCTGAGAATCCCATTCTATTTATGCATATCGACTTCACCCATTGCCCCAACAACAACAAGAACTCTGCGAGGCTTCTGATCGAACCAATTGGTTCCTCATTTGTCAGCGTGGCAACAAGGCGCGATTCTACTCCTTCTGGGTAGATTGCTATCCTGATGAGTTTCATGGGCTTATCATACCAAACTCTCTATTCCAGTCCACTTTTTTTTACTCCTTTTTACTAGTTGTACTCTGACTCTAGAAAAAGCTGTACCTGTTCATAATTGGCCACCGTGAGCTCCGGCTTCGGAAGCAAACAGCGTTGAGTAACATTGGCAGCTGGTGAGGAAATTGGGGGACGAACAAGTCGATTGATTTGAAGAAGTACTCTTATCATACTGTCGTAGAGGAGTGGGGAACGCGATCTGCCTTCAACTGATCGAAAAGAAGCTCCTGGCAGATGTTCAGACAGCATACGCTGTACTATGTTTTGAACTTCTGGTTGTGGAACCATCATGAACCTGAACAGAGCTATTGGTTCACCGTCTTCTGTTTCGCGACAAGTACGCTCAATCTGTCCTATTTCACGAAATTCTTCGAAAACTCCACACTAACATGATTTAGCTAGTTATGAGAGCAACACTTCCCTAGCACTGTCTGAGTTCTGTGTCCTATACGCCAAAAAACACGCAAAGGTCACCTCGAAGAATAGCTCTTCATCTCTTCTTTGAACATTTGAGAATTGTTGCGGTACTTTATATTACAGTCCAGCAAGCTCCAATTCAACTTGTCTAGGTTGTGCGGCTTGAAACTGAAATTAAACATGAAATGTCAAGTAACAACTACAGGAAAAAGAATCAGTTGAAAAAGCTGGTCATTACTTCCTTATTGGTAGGTATACCCCAAAAAACCATCGCAGAGCAAACTACACGAATTCACTAACCTAGTCGTACTGCGTTCATAGCACTGAGCATCGGGCACCTGAAAAACGAGCAATTCGTTCTCGGAACACCGTCGTTCGAATCAAAAAGCATTTTACAAAAGGACAACGAGATCACGATCACAGCTAGCACAGAACAATTCATTTCACCCATTCTTCAAAGTGTAATGGTATTCGGAATGCTGTACGGATAATTTCTGCTTTCGTTCAAAATTTTGAAATGGAACTATTAATAACGAGACACTGCATCGAAAACCCTCCGAGAAATTCTCTTTAGCATGAATCTGTAAAGCGCACTAGGAAGCTGTGTTCGTGTCTGTTCTGTCGTTTGGTTTCGAACGATCAATGCAATACAGTAGAAACCGAACTACAGACATCCCCAAAACTAGCAAGGAAAACACGCAAAAGCATCAGAAAAGGAGTCTCGAGCAACAGAGGGGCACACCGAAATTTCGCAACAAATTGGATAGCGATTGAGATAAATAACTCACTTTATGTACGCGGGAACAACTAAGTGGGATGACTGGTGGAGTACTCCGAATTTTTGATCATGCAAAACGCAGAGGACTGGGTGGAACTACGAACTGTACCTGGCATGGCACGAGATGACTGTTGGGGTAGACGGGTACCTGGAAGAAGTACGAGTACGGCTGCATCGAAGGAGATGGACTCGATTCCGCTTCACGGCTCCTCTTCGGATAAAACACTGTCACTGTGATATCAGATCCTGTCAGCACTAGACGATGAACAATCTAAACATAAACAAAGGTAGTCTGGGACACATTTGTACCTAAATTCTCTTCTGTACCTAATTACCTTTGTACCTAATTCTTAAATTCCTGTAGTAACTTTTTATCACATTACTAGTCCCTATTAAAGCAACAGTCCCAGCAGGGTGGGCGTGGTCGGAAACGGCTGCAATCCCCTCGGCCGATTCCCACTTCGGAGCTGTTCAGCCCCTAGTCAAGAACGTAAGAAGTGTGACTGAACAAAAACTCACCTTGGAAAGCCGCTAGGGAGGGAGCTGAAGTGGGCGTGGTCGGAATCGGCCGAGGGGATTGCAGTCGTTTCCGACCACGCCCACCCTGCTGGGACTGTTGCTTTAAACCGCCTAATCATTCTATATAGTTATTTCGAACATATAACCTCAGTCTGTTCCGTAGTGATGGGAGCGAAGAAACTTTGTTTGATGGCTACCTGTAAAAACCAAAGAAATTCAGAAACAACCTATAACTCGAAAATTAAGCATACATGAATCAAAGGTTTTCGACATCAAAATGATTTGGAATCCTCTTTGAAGACGTTGACAAATGAGTTGCTCGAATACGTGCTTTGACAACTGATTGATATCCATTTTTGCACGTGAACCCTGAACTTCGAGTTTGAAGAGAAATTGCATCATATAAAACAAAAAAACCCTAGCGCATGCACTAACATTAACCCATTGACAAACGCACGCGTCTATATAAGTTGCACGTTTGGGATCCAAAAGATCAATGTGGAAATATCTGCGAAGATTTCAGACTGTTTACACACAGTAGCGTTCAAAAGTGATCGTAGAAACAATTTTCAAAGCATTATTTTTTTTTGCTTGAGCAACGTTCTCCATGATTGATATACTATGTTTCCCAGTGTTTTATATCGTCAGATCTTGAAGAATCAGGTTATTCAAGAGAAAGAATTTTCGGGTTTCATTGATTTTTTCTGGCAGAAAAAAAGAGAACCACGAAAAACTGTCAGGCGAACACTTTTAACCGCTAGTCTATATGTAGTAATCGGCTGTATAACTAGACAGTTGAAGCTGAGACCCCACAAATACCTTCGGACTGGTCATGCAGGTCACAGAATTTTTCCAAAAAGTAGAAATGTTAGAGAAATAGCAAATGCGCTTTTACTCATTACACATGCGACAAGCACTTTGACTCCACGCTTAAGTAAAACAAAACTGACGATCGTCCATGGGTTAAAAACTAAGGACTAACTAAAGCGAACTGTGCTGAGCTCACGTGCTCTTGTACAACAGAAATTTGATGTTCGGTATATAGGTAGTCGCTTATAAGAGTCAGTCGATCAGGAAAATAATCAGTTGTGATAGGGAGTAGAGCAGATCTAAACATGAAGGTTTCTGAGTAAGTTCAACTAAACTGGAAGGAATTTCCGATTTCAGCTGATGGAAGCCTACCTAACAAGAGATTTCCAATCCATGCCGATTTCCATATCGGGATTCCACTTCTCTTCGCCGGTTGATCCCCACGCCCATACGCGCGTTTGTTCTTTTTTAGCCTCACCCACTCTTCGGACAGGTGTGAAGTCGTCGTTCTGAATGAAGAATGATAGAAAAGCATTTTTTACATCACTGGCTGAAGCCAACACAAATGAAAGTCATTTCTGGTGAATATCTGGTGAATATCTGATATTAGGATTACCTTCATATTAACAGTAGCAGTACTTGTTGTACTTTCAGAAGGCTGTCCATTCGAAATCAATGGAGATTCAGGACGTTCAATACGACGAGATGGTGAACCTACGACACCTTAACAAGACAGATGTATACCGATGACAGGCTTTGGAACGGAACAACTGAGCTCTCACTACTCTCAACACATGGAGAGGTCTAATGTGGGAGAGGACATTAATAGAGATGAAGTGAGTGGAGAGGTGGAATAGGGATAGGAATAAAATGGTTAAATATCCAGTTGCTGAACTAAGGGGGAGGGATGATGCAGAAAAGTAAATGTGGGCTCAGAAGTAGGCGATCTGCCGCAACATGGTTTGACTCAGCATGAAACCCCAACTCTGCTAGCTTAGAAATAAGTGATAACATAACGACGCACAAAGAAACTAACCGTTTTCGCGCAATTTCTTTTCGAGTTCATTACCGACTGGTGGAGCTTCGTCTATCATATTTATGTGCACTGTGCTCGTGCCATCAACGTAGTGGTGAGCAAGCTTGGAGCGACCCTTAACAGACAGGTAATAAGCTTTAAAGGAACAAATCGATAATTCAAATAGGCCTAATAACATACCAGAACGCTAAAGAAAATTTTTTTGAAAAATTCGCTATTTATGAAACATTGGATGAACAGTATCTCGAATGACTGCTTTTCCCGTTATGCGGAAAAAGTAGAAAAAGAAAAGACGATTTTTTGATTAAAGATTAACGTAGATGTAATATTAATACTGCACATCTAACATTAGAGTCATCGCACACAATTGGCATCAATGAGATTAGCTAAACAAGTAAACTTTTCAACGTGTGCCAAATTAGACTTTTGATTCGCTTTTCAAGAAGAATTGCAAATGCGATAACGACCTCCGTCGTTAACGGAGAGCACTATTTCTTACCATTTCATCAACCGGGAAAACATGAATCCATCGACGTCGATTCGCTGTGATTCTAACATAAAATTGATCCGGTCGAAATGGATTAATTAACGATCGATGCGGAACAGCTTCAACGTGCGATCCCAAACCACGACGATTTCCAAACGCTGGGCCACGCTTGTTATTTGGTTGGTTGAGCGAATACGCTCCTGAAATGCAAAGCCGGTTGAGTATGAATAATTTACCCAAATACGGTTTGGAAGTAGTTGCCATTCGGAAATAGAGAACGCTGTATGAATAGGAGCAGCGTCATCAAAAGCAACTAATGACAAGCAAGATTCGTGAAGAAAGAGCACGTGCGAGAGATGCATGCCATGGTGTATTAAAGACAGTAGTACGATGGCTGGTAGGTGGAGCGGCTTCGATGACGTTAATAGACGTCATTGGTGGACGAGGTTTCTCGGCGCGCTGGGATATGGTTGGAAACACCTCCCAACGACCTCCACCCCACCGACCGCGCTTCACGACGTTGCTAAAATCGCTCCGCCGTCCAACCATCGTGACCACTGCCTTCGAAGGCGATCACAATTATCAGACACCTTGTGCGTTGAGAGCATCCAAATTTCGCCTGTCATCAGTAACTCCAGATAACTCGGCTCCACGTTCTCTGTGGTTTATTTTTCTCCACATATACATACATGTACTGGCCTCTACTACAATCCTCTTTACTTTCTCCTCCAATCGCCTCCGTCTCACCTCCAACAAAACGCTTCTGCTCAAATGACCCACTCTCCACAGCATTTCGCATTGATATAGCACACCCTCCGTTATCCAACGAGCTCGGACCAACTCGAGCTGAGAGCGACTGCAAGTTCACATAGACAAAGTTATGGGTGATGAATAAATGCGTATGGCAGTTTAAACGACTCTCACTCTTTCGTAAGGAGGGTATGTTATCGGTTCAGCTTGAACCGGCGGCAGTCCCAGCTCCTTACGTAATTCGTCCACAGCCTGCTGACTTTTACCTTTTTCGCCAAACCTGAATGTTAAAATAGCTGAAATTGTGATCTTGGAAATCGTTCAAAACGGAAATAACGCGGTGCGAAAGCACACGCTTGGACAAGATAGGTTGTTAGAGGCACACAGGAGCCCCGTTTGCGCTCATCAACTTCACAATCCGTAAATGTCATAATGAGCGAAACTTATTTTAATACCTGGTCTGCGTGAGTAACTTGGAAAACGCTTCATTGTCATAGGCGTGCATATCACAATGTTGCACAGTTTCGCCATTCATCACCAACGTGCGTGGAGCAGACTAAAACAAACCCTTCTGAAAAACACATCTATAAACCTTCCTAACCTTTCAAGCTTTGAGATCGAAGCTGAGAACTCTTAAGGATCTCTTACCAGGAAGGTCTTTCAGGGCGTGACGAAGCTTTTTGAAAACGGTCTTTTGCATGATATAGGGGCACATGCGGGAACCACAGAACCATGGTTAATTTTTCCTGAACGGCCCTCTGAATACCAAAAAGGGGTCCCTAGTTCGATTCCTCGTGGTGACAAATTTTTGCATTTCGAGTTGACGTTTCAAAATTCGCGCAAAATGGAGTTAGCATGAATAATTAGTACCATATTCATGATTAGGACCGTCAGTAACCCTTACAAATAGACTTTGGTTTGAAAACTGCCACAACAAACAACCATAACTGACTTCAAATCGGCCCCACTTTGGCGTTTTAACTGTCTTAACAACTTTTCCACCAGTTTTAAACCAAAGTCCATTTGTTAAGTTACTGATGGTCCTAATATTTGTATGGCATTCATTGTTCATGTCCTATCATGAATATGGCACTAATTGTTCATGCTAACTCCATTTTGCGCGAATTTTGAAACGTCAACTCGAAATGCAAAAATTTGTCACCACGAGGAATCGAACTAGGGCCCCTTTTCTGGTATTCAGAGGGCCGTTCAGGAAAAATTAACCATGGTTCTGTGGTCCCCACATAAGCCTCTATCTCATGCAAAAGACTGTTT